CCCCAAAACCCCAAAACCCCAAAACCCCAAAACCCCAAAATCACAATTTTATTGAATTACAGATTTACTCCCCATGCCTTCCACCCTCCAAAACCCTGGTTTTTTTACCCCTCCCACGTCCCTATCATCATCAAACACGTACAAATCCCTTTGCCCCACTCAATACCACCTTTTCCCCCACTTCACCACCTGATTTCCCCTAAAAATCCTCACTTTCCTCTACCAAATAATCCTTCTCATACGCTTTAAAAATTTCCCCACTTACCAAATCCAGCACATACACATGCTCATCGCCCTTCCTCAACCTCGCTTCTCCAAAAACTAAAATTTTTGTACTGTCCAAGATCGGCACCAGTCAAAATTTACCCCAATCGTGCATGGTGTGTCCGAAATTGAAAGATTTCCACTGTGTAGGATTTTGACTTGTGTCACAAGCGAAGAGGTATTTTTCAGTAGTGGTGTAGTGGGTGACTAGGATGTAGATGTAGCGGCTGTTTATTCATAAAGGGTTGAACTGGGTTTTGGTGCCGTAGTCGGTGAGGAGAGGTGGGATCTGACTGGTGAAGGAACAGGAGGGGAGGGATAGGGAGACTGTTTGGTAGTTGACCTGGATTATGGAGATGAGGTTTTGGGATTGGACCATTGTGGTGTAGTAGGGGCGACTGGGCTTGTCGAGGTAGAGAAGGCGCATTGTGCGGCTGGGGATGTGGTATTCGTAGAGGGTGTAGGTGGTAGTGGAGGTGGTGAATTTTCCGAGCAGGAAGTAGACACGGTGGTGAGGACGGACGTATTCTATGTTGAGGAGGGTCTCGGAAGGACAGGAGAAGGTTACTTTGGCCTTTATTGTGTTGTTTTTGGGGTTGAATAAGTAAATTCCACTGGGAGATTGTTTATGAGATGTTTGGAATATGAGGTATGATTCTTCTTTTGATTCTAGGAGTTTTAAGGTATCTAGAAGAACTTTGTCTTCCATTGAAGACTTTTTGCTCCTCTCATTCTTCAGTGCCTTTTCAGCAGGATCATCAGTTTTACAATCTTCATGATTCATCGTCTTACTCACATCAAAATTACTAGATACAAAATCATCCGTTTTCTTATCAGAATTCACATCAACCATTTCAATTGGCCCTTCTGTTGCATCAGTATCAACATCTTTTCCTCCTTCCTGCTCTTTCTTCTTTCTTACCTCACTGCACAGCTTGTTAAGTTTTCCCAAAATAGTGCTTGTGTCTCTTATCAACGCAAAATAATCCTTTCGTTTACTAAGGATCTGGACCAGATCGTTATTGTCCATACTCGCTTGGATGCTATCAACGGCTGCTTGCAGCCGCTTCCTGCATTCTTTCACGAATCTTTTGACACTAGGGGTTTTAGGGCCGAATAAGTCCTTCTCAGGGTTTGAAGTCTCTTTTAGGATCTTGTCCTTGATCTTCTTACGTTCTTCGAGATCGGAAATCAACTTTTCACCGAAGGAATCTACTAGAAGAAATTCGTGGTCTATGTGGTGAGCAGTGAAGCATTTCATGCAGAGGAGAAGTTTGCATTTGGAGCAGAAGGTAGCTCTACGGTTGGAAGGGTGCTCAGGACAAAGCCCTGAGGAGGAGGGCTTTGGACCAGAGGTGGCTGCTGGAGTGGAATACATTTTGGAAATAGGATTTTAGGGCTCTATTTGTACTTATTTGAAAGCTAGTGAATTTATAGAAGCTCATAATTTTACGGATTTAGGTTTGTTTTGGTGGAAAAAGAATTTTATTGGATTTTTCAAATACAGTTTTTAGGAAAGGGGTTTTGGGGTTTTGGGGTTTTGGGGTTTTGGGG